GAATGCTTCTGGAACATGGCCAGTCAGCCTGGTAAAACTCACAGCAACCCAGATCATCGTATTTCCACTCATTTCCACCTCTCTCCAATGGCAGCCCTGAAATACTTAACAATTCAATGCACTTTTAATGCACTAATCTCTTTCGAAGGAACAGCAACCAGAGGAAAAAGAAGCAATCAACAGGTCCAGAAAAGACAATGGATTCGTAAGCCAGGAGACAGCACAAGGGAGCAGCAGAAGTCCTGTTTTTAATTGGGTTTTTTAGTGGCCTGCATCCAGATTTGGCCCAACCTCCTTATTTCCCATTTATTTCACCTATTTCTTCTACATTATCAGTTTTGTAAGATCTGCATGGAAATCTGTTACTCTTTTGTGTACATTTCGCTTTCCAAGAATATAGGTTTTCTATGGAAGTTTACATAGATTTAATTTTCGCAGGTCATGTTTCCCTTTGTATACAACTTAGTTACTGTTTTCATTCATTTTTCTGCCTTTCTTCCACACCCCAAGTTTATATATACCAGTGTTTCTCAACCTGGGGGTCGGGACCCCTGGAGGGGGCGCGAGGGGGTGTCAGAGGGGTCGCCAAAGACCATCAGAAAACACACTATTTTCTGTTGGTCATGGGGTTTCTGTGTGGGAAGTTTGGCCCAGTTCTGTCACTGGTGGGGTTCAGAATGCTCTTTGATTTTAGGTGAACTATACATCCCAGTAACTAGAACTCACAAGTGTCAATGTCTATCTTCCCCAAACTCCACCACTGGTCACATTTAGACATATTGAGTATCCATGCCAAGTTTGGTTCAGATCCATCATTGTTTACGTCCACAGTGCCCTACCTGGATGTAGGTGAACTACAACTCCCAAACTCAAGGTCCCACTAAAGTGTTTTCTGTTGGTCATGGGGTTTCTGTGTGGGAAGTTTGGCCCAGTTCTGTCGCTGGTGGGGTTCAGAATGCTCTTTGATTTTAGGTGAACTATACATTCCAGTAACTACAACTCCCAAGTGTCAATGACTATCTTCCCCAAACTCCACCACTGGTCACATTTGGGCATATTGAGTATCCATGCCAAGTTTGGTCCAGATCCATCATTGTTTGAATCCACAATGCTCTCGGGATGGAGATGAACTACAACTCCCAAACTCAAGGTCAATGCACACCAAACCCTTCCAGTATTTTCTCTTGGTCATGAGAGTTCTGTGTGATAAGTTTGGTTCAGTTCCATTGTTGGTGGAGTTCAGAACGTTCTTTGACTGTAGGTGAACTATAAATACCAGCAACTACAACTCCCAAATGTCAATGCCTATTTTCCCCCAAACTCCACCAGTGTTCACATTAGGGCATATTGAGTATCCATGCCAAGTTTGGTCCAGATCCATCCCAGCAACTACAACTCCCAAATGACAAACTCAATGTCCCACCCAACCCCAACAGTATTCAAATTTTGGGCATATCGTGTATTTGTGCCAAATTTAGTCTATATTTAGTCCCTGCATATCAGATATTTACATTATGATTCATAACAGTGGCAAAATTACAGTTGTAAAGTAGCAACAAAAATAATTTTCTGTTGTGGGTCACCACAACTTTGGGAACTGTATTAAGGGGTTGCCACATTAGGAAGGTTGAGAAACACAGTCTCAGACTCAAAATAGTGGTCAGAACAATACAACATCTAAATGAAAACTTAAAGACTATTAATGTCGACATAGAATTGAACCTATCTAAATATGAATTATTAAAAGCAACAAAACTATGCCGAAATTCCGTGAAGTGCCACCAACCAACTCTACCGGGATTCGGATATGTGTCCAGAGAATGTGAATTTTCTCCCGTTCTTATCAAAAGGCAAACGGCACGAAATCCCCCTCCGCCGGCCGAAAGCCGCTTAGAATAAGCAAACAAACAATAATAATAAAGAAATCCGACTCCCGCACATGTGAACGGCAGCATTTCAATTACAAAATGGCCCGCTGCCAAAAATAATAATTACTACGCAAACATGACCCACAAAGCCCTAGGATGTTGGAGATAAACCCATTGGAGAGACACAAGGAAATCGGCGGCATCAGTGGGGACTTCGCAAGGCAGAGACGTGCAGGTTGGAAAAGAAAGAAGAGACAACAAGAGTTTGGTCACTTTACTGGCCAAAGCCTAGGAATAACTGACCATACAGTCCTATGGAGAAAAAAGCTCCACCCAAATAATTGGGTCTTTTGTCGTTCTGACCATTATGGTATTGGTATCTGTGCCCATGACGGCATGGATCAGACCAAATGCGATCGTCTCACTCCAGACGCAAATGGCAACCTTTCTACTTTCGCTTGGCTACTCTGCTGTGGAATACGCATTCCCAGCGTGGAACACATCTCACCACGCTAAAACACTGGATGTGGCTCTTAATGAGACATGGCGCATTATCACGGGGTGTCTGTGCCCCACACCGCTGGAGAAATTACAGTGTTTAGCCGTTATCGCACCACCCAACATCCACCGGAAACTAGGAACCAGTAGCAAAAGGACCAAGGCAGTGAAATTTATTTCCAGTATTTCTATTCTGTTCCTTCTCAAACTCCGAAGGGGGACTCAGCACAGCTTACATTTGGCAGCAATTTGATGCCACTACGTATAACAGAGCAATATAATAACAATTAAAACAGTAAGTAAAACATCCACTAAAACAGTACAAAACAGTATTAATAGCCGTAACATCATTCCAGTCAATCCCATATCCAATTCCACGGCCAAAGTGCTATCTACGCCTGTTGTCCAAAAGCCTGGTCCCAAAACCACGACTTCAATTTCTTCCTAAATGACACGAGGGACGGAGCCGATCTTACTTCAGCGGGAAGCAAGTTCCACAGGCAAGGGGCCACAGCTGAGAAGGCCCTGTCTCTCGTCCCACCAGACGTACTTGTGACGCTGGCAGTAGCGAAAGCAGGGCTTCCCCAGATGATCTTAAACTGCGAGGTGGGATGCAGAGGGAGATGCGTTCGGACAAGTAAGCTGGGCCAGAACCGTGACATCTCCATCCCATCCCGTTTGGATATCAGTCAGCATGCCAACAGCTTAAATCAAGAAATAGTTTTTTAAGATCTACAGAGACACTTGCTGGTGTTTTGGACTTCCAAATATCTTGGACTTTGATTCCCACAATTCCAGGTGTTTTGGACTTCCAAGTGGTTTGGACTTCAGTTCCCACAATTCCAGGTGTTTTGGACTTCCAAGTGTTTTGGACTTCAGTTCCCATAATTCAGCAAGCAAGAGTCCAAAAGTGGCAGGCTAAAATCCAGAACCTCAAGCCATGGCTGATACTGAATGAGAGACTCCCTCCTGGGCACACAGAAAACTGGACAACTCGGAAGGCACTGAACAGACACCACGAGATGCAGAGCCAATCTTAAGAAATGGGGCCACAACGTGGAGTCCACGACATGCGAGTGCGGAGAAGAGCAAACCACAGACCACATACTACAATGCAGCCTGAGCCCTGCAACATGCACAATGGAGGACCTTCTTATAGCAACACCAGAGGCACTCCAAGTGGCCAGATACTTTTTTTTTTGTCATGTCAGGAGCGACTTGAGAAACTGCAAGTCGCTTCTGGTGTGAGAGAATTGGCCGTCTGCAAGGATGTTGCCCAGGGAATGGCCAGACGTTTTGATGTGTGTCAAAGGATATTTAATAGAATGTCAAGTTTGCAAACTTTGTGTGACATGATAGATAAATAAATAAATCTGTGTGCATCCACACCAAGTTTGAAGTTGCATCTACACCAGGCATGGGCAAACTCTGGCCGTCCAGGTGTTTTTGGACTTCAACTCCCACAATTCCTGGCCTCAGGCCCTTTCCTTTCCCCCCTCAGCCGCTTAAGCGTGAGGGGGAAAAGGAAGGGGCCTGAGGCCAGGAATTGTGGGAGTTGAAGTCCAAAACACCTGGAGGGCCGGAGCGTAGAAGTACCAAGATTATCTTAACCAGAACTAAAACCAGATTGTAGGAGTTGAAGTCTAAAACACCTGGACGGCCAGAGTTTGCCCATGCCTGATCTACACAGTAAAGTTAACTCAGTTTCACACCGCTTGAACTGCAGTTGCTCAAGGCTACGAATTCATGGAAGTTGTAGTTTCCCAGAACATCTCTGTCTGACATTTGAGAACTCTCCGCCACAACATGGAAACACAATTCCAAGACTCCATGGCAATTCAAGCAGGTGCAAGATACTCCAAATGCTTAGGCCAGTCATGGGCCAACTTGGGCCCTCCCTCCAGGTGTTTTGGATGCTAGGAATTGTAGGAGTTGAAGTCCAAAACACCTGGACAGCCAGAGTTTGCCCATGCCTGATCTATACAGTGAAGTTAATTCAATTTCACACTGCTGTTGCTCAAGGCTATGAGATTGTGGAAGTTGTAGTTTCCCAGAACATCTCTGTCTGACATTTGAGAACTCTCCGCCACAACATGGAAACACAATTCCAGGACTCCATGGCAATTCAAGCAGGTGCAAGATACTCCAAATGCTTAGGCCAGTCATGGGCCAACTTGGGCCCTCCCTCCAGGTGTTTTGGATGCTAGGAATTGTAGGGGTTGAAGTCCAAAACACCTGGGCAGCCAGAGTTTGCCCATGCCTGATCTACACAGTGAAGTTAATTCAGTTTCACACTGCTGTTGCTCAAGGCTATGAGATTGTGGAAGTTGTAGTTTACCATGGTATCTCTGTATGACAGTATGAGAACTCTCCGCCACAACATGGAAACGCAATTCCAAGACTCCATGGCAATCCAAGCAGGTGCAAGGTACTCCAAATGCTTACGCCAGTCATGGGCCAACTTGGGCCCTCGCTCCTGATGTTTTGAATGCTAGGAATTGTATGAGTTGAAGTCCAAAACATCTGGAGGGAGTGCCCAAGTTGATCCATACCTGGCCTAGTATGAAAGAAGGAATAGACAGGTTGTGAAGCCCATATAGACCAAAGGAAGAGGGAGCTTCCGCTCTTGCTTACCGGTGTTGCTCTACCGCCTCGTTGTCCAGCAGCTCGGCCCCACAGACGCTGCACTGTTCGGACCGGCTCTCACTTTTGATCCCCACAGCCAGTTCCCCGAGTTTGCTGAAGAGCTCCCTCTGGATGAAGCCCTGCGGGAGGAGACCCCCGTAGGCCCCAAAGTCCATGGAGACGGCCAGGGCCGGCTGCACCTGCAAAGAGGGAGCCATGCCGGAGGGCAGAGCCAGCATGGACTCGGCCTTGTGGTTCGGCAGCATGGAATAGACCCCCATCAGCTTCTCCGAGCCCCCCGTGGATGGCGGCGTGCCGTGGCCCACCTCAGAGGGCTGATCGGGGTTGTCGTCGCGGGGATAATGGAGCTCCCGAGCGCTGGTGATGACGCTGTTGCGAGTTGGGGTGCCGGGCCCTTGTTTGCCTTTGTCCTCGGCTCGGTCCCCACCAGAATCGGAGGCTCGGGGGCTTTCATGGCTGGAGGCCTCCTCCACTTGCATGGCCTCCGTTTTGACCTCCGAGGAACAAGAGTGGTGGCCACCAACTTGCAAGTCCTCAGAAATGCCGTGCTGCAAGGCTCCTTGGAGCAGCGACTGGCCAATCGTCATCAGGCTGTCCACCGCGGCCTTGGTGGGACTCATGGCGGAGAGGCCGAAGGAGGTGGAGACGGAAGGGCTTTGCTCCACCAAAGGTCCAGCCAGGCTGGAGTAGCCGCTCTCTTCGCTGGAATGCTTGGAGATGAGGATATTTTTAGCATATTTGGCCTTCCGGTCTTCTTCGTCTTCCGCTGCGCTTCCGTCGTTGTCCTCTGAAGCCTGGATGGTCTCCAGGATCTTTAAGCATTGCTCCTCTAAGTACTCGATCTCCAGGATCTCGGCGGCATAGAGGAGGTCATCCAAGTCTTCCACTTTCGCCTGTAAGGTGGCCGTGTAGGCATACTCCAGGATCTGCTGGAAGGTCTTTGGCGAGAGGAAGTCCAAGGTGTAATGCTGGCTGCTGCGGTGGAAGAGGATCTCGAACATCTTGCTGGTGCAAGCCAAGACAGTCCGGTGGGCGTGGAACTCCTGGCTGTCCACCAGGATGACCACGTCGCACAAGGTCCCGGCCAGCCGCATCTGGTTGGCCTTCTGCAGGAGCCCCGTGGCATGGCTGGGGTTCTGGAGCTGGATTGTCCCCATTTTAGTCAAATCCATAACGCTCCCAAGGTCTAGCAGGCATCAGGGAGACTGTCCGGTGCACCACACAGAACCAGTGTCTTTGTGGACCAGGTCTCTGTCCAAAACAAGGAAAGAGAGATTAGATCTTTGATGGTTGGTTGGCTTAAGGAATATACTCATACACACGTTAAGCACCAGGAACATTGTATTGTCGAAGGCTTTCATGGCTGGAATCACTGGGTTGTTGTGGGTTTTTTCGGGCTATATGGCCATGTTCTAGAGGCATTCTCTCCTGACGTTTCGCCTGCATCTATGGCAAGCATCCTCAGAGGTAGTGAGGTCTGTTGGAAGGAGGAAAATGGGTTTATATATCTGTGGAATGACCAGGGTGGGACAAAGGACTTTTGCTAGGCACATCTTAACACCTCTCAACAAAAGATTTTCCCAGGCTCAGCCAGGCCTTCAAAGGCTAATGAAGGTGGTCAGTTGAAACATTCACACCTAGCTCCAGCAGAGAAGAGCTCTTTGCCCCACCCCAGCCATTCCACAGATATATAAACCCATTGTCCTAATTCCAACAGACCTCACTACCTCTGAGGATGCTTGCCATAGATGCAGGCGAAACGTCAGGAGAAATGCCTCTAGAACATGGCCCTATAGCCCAAAAAAACCCACAAGAACCAGGAACATCGTCAGCTAACCAACATTGTTGAGGGACAGAATGGTGTAGCCATTTGAGCATCAGACTATGACTCTGGAGACCAGGTTTTCAATCCCTGCTCAGCCATGGAAACCCACTACTGGCTTTGGGGAGACACTCTCTCAGCCTCAGAAGGTAATGGCAAAGCCCCTCTGAAGAAATCTCCTGATAGGGTTGTCCATTGGTTGGGATATTGTGCACCAACTTTACAAAACCAAGAAGTTCTCTCACTCAATATAGAATCATGGAATCCTAGAGTTGGATGAGACCTCATGGGCCATCCAGTCCAACCCCATTCTGCCAAGAAGCAGGAAAATTGGATTCAAAGCACCCCCAACAGATGACCATCCAGTCTCTGTTTAAAAGCTTCCAATTTACCTGTCCGAACGTATCCTCCCCTATGAACCATCAAGATTGCGAAGATCGTCTGGAGGGGCCCTGCTCTCAATCCCACCGGCCTCACAGGCACGGCTGGTGGGGACGAGAGACAGGGCCTTCTCGGTGGTGGCCCCTCGACTCTGGAACTCCCTTCCACTGGAGATCAGAACTGCCCCTTCTATCTTAACATTCAGGAAACAGGTGAAAACTTGGCTTTGGGGATTGGCATTCGACGAATGAGCCATGATCCTGTGATATGGATGGATGACGACGAATAATGATTTTTGATGATGACTGACCACTGTAATTATATGATTGTATTTTGCTATTTTAATGTTTTAGTGTGATTTAGAATCTGATGTTTTAATGACTGTCTGTAATATTGATGTTGGAAACCGGCCTGAGTCCCTCGAACGGAGGTGAGAAGACCGGCATACAAAACTGCTAAATAAAATAAAATAAAAGAAGGAGCCTCCACCACACTCTGGGGCAGAGAGTTCCACTGCTGAACAGCTCTCACAATCAGGAAGTTCTTCCTAATGTTCAGATGGAATCTCCTTTCTTGTAGTTTGAAGCCATTGTTCCACGTCCTAGTCTCCATATCTTCGTGAATAACCACCTTCTAGGCTGTGGAACTTCCACCAACCGGCTGATTCCATCACCAGAAACGTTTTATTATTACGTATTTAGGAAAGGCTTTCAGCAATACCTGTTGCCAAAGAGTCTTTGAATAAGGAAGGCTGCCGCACTTCCATCCCCACTGCTCTGTTTGAAACCCTTCCCAACTATTTTGCATTTTGTTTCACTCGTGCTGTTGCTCCTTAATCACTTTTGCTAGAGTTTGTGTCGATTTGGTGAGCCTTGGGTCCCAATCCTGGAAGAATCACCAACTATCCATGAAACAAAACAGCAGCTTTTCGCAAGCCAAACAAAATGGCACGGAAACACCGAACTGGGGAAATTATCCAACTAATTCTGCTTTTTCCTCTTCTAAAAACCCAAGATACTGAAATTATTGAAATTTGGCTCCAATGTGCCTTTGGAGAGTGACTATTTATCCCATTTATGCTTGCTCCATCTATAGTGTTGCCCCTATGATGCATTTTCCCTCATCCTAAACCGAAAGCCTACCCCACTGTTAATTTTTTTGGTTCCCTTCAATTACAATTACTGTATATACTCGAGTATAAGCCTCGTTTTTCAGCCCCTTTTTTAGGCTGAAATAGCTCCCCTCGGCTTATACTCGAGTCAAGGTTATTTATTATTTTACTCTGTTATTAGTATATAGAGCGCAAGGTAGGCAGCATAAGCGGGGTCTGAAGTATTCCCATGCACARGCCYAAGAGAAGTTAGTTCCTTCCGCCTTTGTGTGCATGGCGCAGGGAMAAYGCCACCGCTTGAGTTGGAGCCAAGCATCGAGAAGTTTCAAGCACCGACCATTCCTCAGATCTGGTTCCCCCAAAAACTAAACCCCCAGAGCACACTTTGCCAGTCATRCCTAAATATTGGGAGCTGTCTTGCGTTGCTTTCTGGCTAGAGGTGCCTCTTTCAACAAAGCAATACTTGGAAACAATCGCAACAGACTATGAGCTCCCTGCGTCAGCTCCAGCTCCCCGTGTGGGGACATAAGAGAAGCCMCCCACAAGGATGGTAAAGCAGACCCTTGTGCCAGCAAGACTGAACACCAACAGGTTGGAGGTTCGAATCTGGAGAGAGCACAGATGAGCTCCCTCTGTCAGCTCCAGCTTCCCATGCGGGGTCATAAGAGAAGCCTCCCACCAGGATGGTAAAGCAGACCCTTGTGCCGACAGACCCTTGTGCCAGCAAGACTGAAGACCGACAGGTTGGAGGTTGGAATCTGGAGCGAGCGTGGATGAGCTCCCTCTGTCAGCTCCAGCTCCCCATTTGGGGACATAAGAGAAGCCTCCCATAAGGATGGTAAAGCAGACCCTTGTGCCGGCAAACGCGTGCTGCCAGCAAGACTGAAGACCGACAGGTTGGAGGTTCGAATCTGAAGAGAGCGCGGATGAGCTCCCTCCATCAGCTCCAGCTCCCCATGCGGGGACATAAGAGAAGCCTCCCACAAGGATGGTAAAGCAGAGCAGACACATGTGCCAGCAAGACTGAAGACTGACAGGTTGGAGGTTCGAATCTAGAGAGAGTGTGGATGAGCTCCCTCCGTCAGCTCCAGCTCCCCATGTGGGGACATGAGAGAAGCCTCCCACCAGGATGATAAAACATCCAGACAACAACATCCTTGCAGACAGCCAATTCTCTCACAACAGAAGCAACTTGCAGTTTCTCAAGACATGAAAAATAAACAAAGCCTTCTCTTCTTCAGCAACCCATCAAAAGCCTTAAGCACCTCGGGGGGGGGAAGAAAAGGGCCTGAGGCTGTTAGGAATGGTGGGAGTTGAAGTCCAAAATGCCTGGAGGGAAGGCCAAAGCTTGCCCATGCCTGTTCTATATACTCTGCTGTTGCTTTGGGGAAAGAGGCACCTCTAGCCAGAAAGCAACCCAAGACAACTCTCAATATTTACATCTGATATCTAGCTCATGCTTCTCTCCCTTCTCTTTTCCGTGTCCAGCTCTTTCTCTTCAACCGAGTTTGAGTCTGAAAAGAAAGGTTTCCTTGGATCCTTTCTTTCCATTGTTGAGGTTCGAAAGTTGCTTGGTTCTCGGTGCCAAAGAGTCCAAAGGAGACCTTACACTCTGCACCGGGAACCAGGCGATTATTGTTGACTTTCCGAACCTCTCCAAAAAGGGACCCCAAGGCCGAGACACTCCTCCAAAGAGCAAAGGGAGAGGCTCTCCAAAGAGCCCCAAGGTGCAAAGAGAGGGGGGAAAGGGGCAAGGAGGAAAGCAGAGACCTCCCCTCTTCATTCCCTTCCATCTTTAGAACCCCTCAAAAGAAACCCGACGTCCCCCTGAATCCAAACCTCTGCCCCATCACCGACTTCGATGCTTCATACTCGACGAGTCGGATTTTGCGTCTGGATGCAACCTTGCTTTCTTTTGCATTGAACCAAGCCAAAATACGTATTCTTTGCAGGCGAAACGCAGAAGAGAATGCCTCTAGCAGGGGTAGGGAACCTTTGGCCCTCCAGCTGTGGTGGACTTCAACTCCCACAATTCCTTGAAGCTCGGCATTCGCCCCAAAGGCTTACCTTGGCCCAATGCCGAGCCTCAAGGAATTGTGGGAGTTGAAGTCCACCACAGCTGGAGGGCCAAAGGTTCCCTACCCCTGCTCTAGACCATGGCCATATAGCCTGAAAAAACCTACAACAACCTATGTATTCTTTTCTTCTCTATTCTTCCTTCCAACTCCTGAATATTTAGGAAATATTGCTGATGGTTTGGCCACCCTTCTCGGCGTTTTCCAAAGTGACACACAGAGCGTACAACAGTCAGGTCCGCCACTGCCCAAAGCTCTCCCCAACAAACCCAGCTTCCTTACTATTGGGTTGCTGTGAGTTTTCCATGCTGTCTGGCCATGTTCCAGAAGCATTCTCTCCTGGTGTTTCACCTCCATCTATGGCAGGCATCCTCAAAGGTTGTGAGGTCTGTTGGAAACTAGGCAAAGGGGGTTTATATATCTGTGGAAAGTCCAGGGTGGGAGAAAGAATGAACTCTTGTCTGTAGGAGGCAAATGTGAAATGTTGCCATTGACCATCCTTTAGAAAAACTCTAAAATCAGGACAGTAAATAAAGAGCAACACTCAGAAAACTGGAGAATTCCAGACAGAAACAATCAGGGCCAGCTAACACCTCCCAACAAAGGATTCCCCCAGGCAGGAAGCAACCAGGCTTCGAAGCGACAAGTCCATTCAATGCTAATCAAAGCTGGCCAACTGCAGCATTTACACTTGCCTCCAACAGACAAGAGTTCTTTCTCCCACCTCCCAACAAAGGATTCCCCCAGGTAGGAAGCAACCAGGCTTTGAAGCTACAGGTCCATTCAATGCTAATCAAGCTGGCTAACTGCAGCAGTCATACCTGCCTCCAACAGACAAGAGTTCTTTCTCCCACCTCCCAACAAAGGATTCCCCCAGGCAGGAAGCAGCCAGGCTTTGAAGCTGCAAGTCCATTCAATGCTAATCAAAGCTGGCCATCTGCAGCATTCACACTTGCCTCCAACGGACAGTTCTTTCTCCCACCTCCCAACAAAGGATTCCCCCAGGCAGGAAGCAGTCAGGCTTTGAAGCTACAAGTCCATTCAATGCCAATCAAACTAGCCAATTGCAGCGTCCACACTTGCCTCCAACAGACAAGAGTTCTTTCTCCCACCTGGACATCATTCCACAGATATATAATCCTAATTTTTCTAGTTTTCAACAGACCTTTGAGGAAGCCTGCCAAAAATGTGGGAGAAACATCAGGAGAGAATGCTGCTGGAACATGGCCAGACAGCCCAGAATGATAGAATCCTAGAGTTGGAAGCAACCTTGTGGGCCACCCAGTCCACCCCATTCTACCAAGTTATAAGAAAATCGCATTGAAATCACTCCTGACAGATGACCACCTGTTTCAAAGTCTCCAAAGAAGGAGCCTCCACCACACTCTGGGGCAGAGAGTTCTACTGATGAACAGCTCTCTCACACAGTTAGGAAGTTCTTCCTAATGTTCAGGTGGAATCTCCTTTCTTTCCTGTAGTTTGAAGCCATTGCTCTGTTGCTTCAGGGCAGCTCTCTCCTCGCTTTGACTTCCCCTCACCTCTTGATACATGGCCCTCATCACGCCTCCTCTCAGCCTTCTCTTAAAGGGCCCCGGTGGCACAATGGGTTAAACCTGTGCCAGCAGGACTGAAGACTGACAGGTTAGAGGTTTGAATCTGGGGAGAGTGTGGATGAGCTCCCTCCATCAGCCCCAGCTCCCCATGCGGGGACATGAGAGAAGCCTCCCACAAGGATGGTAAAGCAAACCCTTGAACTGGCAGACCATTGTGCCAGCAAGACTGAAGACCAACAGGTTGGAGGTTCAAATCTGGGGAGAGCACAGCTGAGCTCCCTCCATCAGCTCCAGCTTCCCAGGCGGGGACATAAGGCAAGCCTCCCACAAGGATGGTAAAGCAGACCCTTGAACTGGCAGACCATTGTGCCAGCAAGACTGAAGACCGACAAGTCGGAGAGTGGGGATGAGTTCCCTCCGTCAGCTCCAGCTCCCCATGCGGGGACATAAGAAAAGCCTCTCACCAGGATGGTAAAGCAAACCCTTGTGCCGGCAGACCCTTGTGCCAGCAAGACTGAAGACTTACAGATTTGAGGCTCAAATCCGGGGAGAGTGCGGATGAGCTCCCTCTATCAGCTCCAGCTCCCCATGTGGGGACATGAGAGAAGCCTCCCACCAGGATGGTAAAGCAGACCCTTGTGCCAGCAAAACTGAAGACCAACAAGCTGGAGGTTCAAATCTGGGGGGAGCGCGGATGAGCTCCCTCCGTCAGCTCTAGCTCCAAACCCTTGTGCTGGCAGGCCTGAAGACCCACAGGTTGGAGGTTTGAATCTGGGGAGAGCATGGATGAGCTCCCTTCGTCAGCTCCAGTTCCCCATGCGGGAACATAAGAAAAGGCTCCCACCAGGATGGTAAAGCAAACCCTTGTGCCGGCAAGACTGAAGAACAACAGGTTGGAGGTATGAATACGGGAAGAGCACGGATGAGCTCCCTCTGTCAGCTTCAGCTCCCTATGTAGGGACAGGAGAGAAGTGCCCCACAAGGATGGTAAAGCAAACCCTTTTGATGACAGGACTGAAGACTGACAGGTTGGAGGTTAGAATCTGGGGAGAGCGCAGATGAGCTCCCTCCGTCAGCTCCAGCTCCCCATGCGGGGACATGAGAGAAGCCTCCCACCAGGATGGTAAAGCAGACCCTTGTGCCAGCAAGACTAAAGACCAACAAATTGGAGGTTTGAATGTGGGGAGAGCACGGATGAGCTCCCTCCGTCAGCTCCAGCTCCTCGTACAAAGGGGACATGAGAGAAACCTCCCACCAGGATGGTAAAACACCAAAACATCCTTGCAGACGGGCAATTCTCTCCCAACAGAAGCGACTTGCAATTTCTCAAGTCAGGAAAAACAAACAGACCCTTCTCTTCTCCAGCAACCCATGAAAAGCCTTCCACAACACACCCTGACTATTATTATTATTATTATTACTATTATCCCAAATCCCATCCTTACAAGCCTTGATATATTGACTGTCTTAAGAGCTGTTGACATTATGATCTTTCTCTTTACCCTCCTTACTATTTGGGAGAGAAGAGTAAGTAAGTATTTGGGAGAGAAGAGGGGCCAAACAAACAGGGGCACCCTCTCTCTCCTTCCACCTCTGCCCAAGGAGAGCCCATCCTCTCCTGACCATATTTACTCTCTTTATTGTTGCTTGCTACTRCTCCGAGTGTTTACTCTCCTCCCAATCCTTAGTATTGCTTCTCCTCCGACTCCTGACTAMCCTCCCCTTCCTTGTTACTGCTACTCCGAAGAGCTATGGATGCTCTTCTGCTCCTCCAAAGGTGCTCTTCAMMTTCTCTTTCCTCTCCGTCGCTCGGTCTCCATGCTTTCCTATTTTGCGCCTCGGTTCGCGTTCTGCACATGCTCTTTGCCCTCTTTCCCTGGGACGCAACCTGCAAAACTGCCCCCAGAAGGGAAGGGAAGGACCCAAGCAAGGACTCGAGCCGGCTTTGGAAGGAAAAGGGACCAAACAGGTCCTTGGAATTAGGAGACCAAAAGGAGAGCTCGTCCTCGTGCGTAATTACGCACCAAAAGAAGAAAGAGTATTTTGCGCCCCGGTTCGCCTTCTGCACATGCTCTTTGCCCTCTTTCCCTGGGACGCAACCTGCAAAACTGTACCCAGAAGGAAAGGGGAGAACCCAAGCAAGGACCCGAGCCGGCTTTGGAAGGAAAAGGAACCAAACAGGTCCTTGGAACGAGGTGCCCAAAAGGAGAGCTCGTCCTCGTGCGTAATTACGCACCGAGAGGAGAAGAAAGAGTTGGGTTCGGCATTGCGCCCCACGAAAGAGTTGGGTTCGGCGGAGACTCACCGGTTTGGGGGGCTTCTTTCCCCCGGGCAAAGGAGGCTGGAGAGGGTCTCGGAAGGGCAGGAGGAAGAGGATGGAGGAAAAGGAAAAGGAGGAGGAAGAAGAGGAAGAGGAAGACGCGGTGGCGGGCGGAGGAGCAGCATCGCCCGCGAGTTGGCAGCGCCGGCTCCGCGCGTCTCTCTCTCTGGCCGGGCGGCGAGGCGAGCGAGGAGGGCAAGCAGGCGCCGCCGAGGAGCGGACCCGAGGGAAAACGCCCCCTCCGAGGACACGCCCCCCTCGCCACGCCCACTCCCGCCCCCTCCCCTCCCTCCCTCCACCGACCAGGCTCCATCTTGGCTCCTGGCACCTCTCTTTGGGCACCCAGGCAAAGGGAAAGGAAAGCGGCACAGAGTTTGGAAAGGACCTCCGTGGCCATTTCAGCTTTTTCTTTTCACAATCTAAGCCCTCCTGACAGAGGGCCATCCAGCCTCTCGCTGCTTTCTTGCAGTCAGGGGGCTCTTCCTCGAGGGTCATCCATCCCAACCCCCTTCTGCCACCTGAACACGAGGAAGAACCTCCTGACACAGAGAAGAGGTCTTCAACAGTGGAACTCCCTGCCTCAGAGTCCTTCTTTGGAGGGTTTCAAACAGAGACTGGATGGACATCTGCCAAGGGTGCTTTGATTGTGCTTTTCCTTCAGATGGCTCATGGGGTCCCTTCCAACTCTATTATTATTATTATTGAGGTTGGATGGCCATCTGTCAGGCGTGCTTTGATGGTGATTTTCCTGCATGGAAGAAGGGGGTTGGACTAGATGGCCCTTGGGGTCTCTTTCAACTCTATTATTATTATTATTATTATTATTATTATTATTATTATTATTATTGAGGCTGGAGGGCCATCTGTCAGGGGTATTTTGATGGTGCTTTTCCCTTCATGGCAGAGCGAGGTTGGACTAGATGGCCCATTGGGTCCCTTTCAACTATTATTATTATTATTATTATTATTATTATTATTATTATTATTATTATTGAGCCTGGATAGCAATCTGTCAGGGGTGCTTTGATGGTGCTTTTCCTGCATGACAGAGTAGGGTTGGACTAGATGGCCCATGGGGTCCCTTCCAACTCTATTATTATTATTATTATTATTATTATTATTATTATTATTATTATTATTGAGCCTAGGTGGCCATCTGTCAGGAGGGCTTTGATGGTGCTTTTCCTGCATGGCAGAGCACGGTTGGACTAGATGGCCCATGGGGTCCCTTCCAACTCTATTATTATTACTGTTATTATTGTTGTTGCTATTGAGGCTGGAGGGCCATCTGTCAGGGGTGCTTTGAAGGAGATTTTCCTGCTTCTTGGCAGAATGGGGCTGGACTGGATGGCCCACAAGGTCTCTTCCAACTCTAGGATTCAGTGATTTCTATGATTATTGAGGCTGAATGGCCATCTGTCAAGGGTGCTTTGATGGTGCTTTTCTGCATTGCAAAAGGGGTTGGACTAGATGGCCCATGGAGTCTCTTCCAACTCCATTTATTATTATAATTATTATTAATAATATTATTGGGGCTGGATGGCCATCTGTCAAGGGTGCTTTGATGGTGCTTTTCTGCATGGCAAAAGGGGTTGGACTAGATGGCCCATGGAGTCTTTTCTAACTATTATTACTACTACTACTACTACTACTACTATTAAGGCTGGATGGCCATCTGTTGGGGATGCTTTGATTGTGCCTTTCCTGCATGGCAGAAGGGGGTTGGACTAGATGGCCCATGGGGGTCTCTTCCCACCCTATTATTATTATTATTCCTACTCCTAGTACTATTACTACTGAGCCTGGATGACCATCTGTCAGGGTTGTTTTGATTGTTCTTTTCCTCCTTTCCATGGCAGAATAGGTTGCACTAAATGGCACATGGGCTATCTTCCAACCCTATTATTATCATTATTATTGAGGCTGGATAACTATCTATCAGGTGTGCTTTGATTGTTCTTTTCCTGCATGGCAGAAGGGGGTTGGACGAGATGGCCCATGGGCTCTCTTCCTTCTCTATTATTCCATGATTCTATAAAGGAAGGCACAACTCAAACACTTCCAAAGAAGAAGCCTCCGCTTCACTTCGAGGCAGAGAGTTCCCCTGTTGAACAGCTCTCCTTATGGCCAGGAAGCTCTTCCTCATCTTCAGCTGCTCCCTCTTCCTTGTGACCTCCTTTCCAATATTGGAATATGGCCCTGATGTCACCTCCACCCTTCCCTCCTGCAGGATAACATCTCCAGGTCTTTAAGCCGCTCCTCAGAGGGATGATGCATGGTCTCCAGGTCTTGGCTCATGATAGTGGTCAATGGGTTCCTTGTGACCTCCTTTCCAATATTGGAACATGGCCCTGATGTCTCCTCTCACCCTTCCCTCCTGTAGGATAAGCATCTCCAGGTCCTTAAGCCGCTCCTCAGGGGGATGATGCAAGGTCTCCAGGCTTTGGATCATGATCGTGGTCAATGGGTCTACTTGAGTGGGGACTTTCCTGCTCCTGCTGGACAGCGCTTTTTGGCTTTTGCCCGGATCCAACATGGAAGCGGTGGTGGCTTCGCGTGATAGGAGGGAGGGAGGGAAAGACACGCCCCCTCCCTCAGCCACGCCCCTCCTCCTCAGCCCCGCCCCCAGCAGGCACCTGCTGCTTCTGCCCCAAACTCACCCAAGAAAGAGAGAGAGAGAGACCCCTCCCCAAGGCAGGGACCCTTCCCAAGGGAGACAAAGGCTCCTTCTCCACTCCCGACCCCAGGACAGGAGCCCACGCGGGATTCTCTCTCCAAGGCACGTGTTGGCGTGTGTGGAAGCGAAGGAGGAGTGGAGTCCCCTGCTTGGCCAGGGCTCGTGGGCGCCCCCACGCGGGTGGATTGGCACGCCGAGAAGGAGGGAGGGAGAGAGAGAGAGAGAGAAGGGGGGAGAGAGGGAGGGATGGCAAGAGAGGGGAAGAGGAGGAAAGAAAGAGAAAGGGAGAGGGAAAGACAAAAGAGAAGGAGAGGAAGGAAGAGAAAGGAAGGAAGGAGGAAGAAAGAGGGAAAGCGAGAGAGGGAAAGGCAGGAAGAGAGAAAGAGAAAGGGATGGAAAGAAAGAAAGAAAGAAAATGAAGGAGAGAAGAAGAGAGAGAGGGAAAGGCAGAAGAGAAGGAGAAAGAGGGGATGGAAAGAGAGAAAGAAAAGGAAAAAAAGAAGAGAGAAAGGCAGAAGGAGAAAGAGAAAAGGGGATGGAAAGAGAGAAAGAAGTCAAGAAAGGGAATGAAGGAGGGAGGAAGAGAGAGAAAGAGGGAAGGAAAGGCAGAAGAGAAGGAGAAAGAGAAAAAGGGATGGAAAGAGAGAGAAAGAAAGAAAGAAAGAGAGGGAATGAAGGAGGGGGGAAAGAGGGAAAGAGAGGGAAAGGCAGAAGAGAAAGAGAAAAGGGGATGGAAAGAGAAAGAGAAAGAAAGAAGGGGAATGAAGGAGAAAGGAAGAGAGAGGGAAAGGCAGAAGAGAAAGAGAAAAGGGGATGGAAAGAAAGAAAGAAAGAGAGGGAATGAAGGAGGAAGAGGGAGAAAGAAAGAGAGGGAAAGGCAGAAGAGAAGGAGAAAAAGAAAGAGGGGAAGGAAAGAGAAAAAGAAAAAAGAAAGAGAAGGAATGAAAGAGGGAGGAAGAGAGAGAAAAAGAAAGAGAGGGAAAGGCAGAAAAGAAGGAGAAAGGGGATGGAAAGAGAGAAAGAAGGAAAGAGAGGGAATGAAGGAGGGAGGAAGCGAGAGAAAGAGAAGGAAAGGCAGAAAAGAAGGAGAAAGAGAAAAAGGGATGGAAAGAGAGGGGGATGAAGGAGGGAGGAAAAGAAAGAAAGAGAAAGGGAGATAAAGGCAGAAGAGGAGAAAGAAAATGGGATGGAAAGAGAGAAAGAGAAGGAAAGAAAGGGAATGAAGGATGGAGGAAGAGAGCAAAAGAGAGATGGGGAAAGGCAGAAGAGAAGGAGAAAGAGAAAAGGGTATAGAAATAGAGAAAGAGAAGGAATGAAGGAGGGAGGGAGGGAAAGAGAGAGGGAAAGACAGAAGAGAAGGAGAAAGAGAGGATGGAAAGAGAGAAAGAAAACGAAAGAAGGAAGGAGAGGGAATGAAGGAGGGAGGAAGAGAGAGAAAAAGAAAAGGAGAAAGAAGGGGAGAGCAAAAAGAAAAAGAAAGAAGGAAGGAAAGACAAACAGAATGAAGAAGGGAGGAAGAGAGAAAAAGAGGTGAGAGAAATGGAGAAAGTGAAAGAGAAAGAGCAAGATAAAAGAAAAAGAAGAAAAAAGGAGGGAGGGATAGAAAGAGATAGAAAGAGAAGGAAAGAAAGAGAGTGAGGGAGTGAAAGACAGAGGTGTGGGAAGAGAAAAAGAAATAGGGAAAGGCAGAAGAGAAGGACAAAGAGAAGGAAATGAAGGAGGGAGGAAGAGAGAAAAGGAGAAGGAGAAACGGATAGAGCAAAAGAGAGAAAGAAGGAACAAAATGGAATGAAGGAAAGAAGAAGAGAAAAAAAGGAAAAGGTGAAAGAAACTGAGGGAGAGAAAGAACCAGAGAAAAGAATAAGAGAAGAAAGAGTTGCATAGTATAAAGATAATAGAATTAATGAATTACAGGAAGGTATGCAGGTGTCATGTTAAAATCTTGTAGGAATTTATAGGTGAATATAAATGATAATTAATAAGAAAAGGATATAATTTATTAATTGTATTATATATAGAAAGATAAAAGGAAGGAGTCAATTATATAATAATTAAATACCAACAATTAAGGAGTGTATGAAGAGAGAAAATTAAAAGGTGAAGAAATGATTTTATCTGTTAAAGGAAAGAGCAATATAAAATAAGAATATTAATACATAATCGAAATTCATTTAAATATATAATAGTAAAAAAATTTAGGGTGAAATGTATTGAAGAAAGAGAAAAAAGGAGAAAGAAATTAAAAAAGCTCAAACTTTTGTAGGAATTTATTTTTAGTTATTTAGTAATTTAGTAATTAATTATGAATTAGTAAAACTAAATTATAAATATATTAAATATAATAGCAAATAATCGTTTTTAATAAATGTAACAATTAGACAAGAGAAGGAGGGAGGAAGAGAGAAAAGGAGAAAGTGAAAGAAATGGAGGGAGCAAAAGAGAGAATGAGCAAGAGAAAGGAAGAAGAGAAGAAAAAGAGGGAGGGATGGAAAGAGAGAGAAAGAAAAGAAAAGAGAGTGAGGGAGTGATTC